TAGCTCCATCTTTGGATAATGTAAATCTGTTAAGATGACATTCTCCAATTATTTATTTACTGAAAGGTGCTATATTGAAAGAGAAGAAATATTTAAAGAGTAGTTATTTTGTATTAGGAAGGATTAGTTTGTACGTTCATTCAGAGGATATTTATAAGGGTGCATTGTATGCAGAGCCCTGTAGCCATAAAACACCCTTCTTCCTCTCCCCATCCTTGCCCAAAGCTGAGTACTGGTCTAGGTGATGCATATTAATGGCAACTCTTGATTCCCAGCCTGCTTATGTGAACACTGGAGGGTCTGATTCTTGGCTCCAAAGGAATAAATGATCGTGTATGCAGAACTCATCTTTGGGGAACACACTTTCTAGGAGAGAGAATTAAAATCACAAGGGAACCATTTTAAAGCAAATTACAGCATTATCCATCCCAAATCATATATTTAAGTGGAGAAGAAACTTAGAGGAATAGAGTGATCAAAGGCAGAATGGCTAATGAGGGCGTTTGAGAGGATGGTGTTGGACTGTACAATTACCAGTCACTTTTTCCAAACATTATTTTATCTTTACAAGATCCCTACAAGGTACACATTATGAGTCTCACTTTAAACACTGGGACATTGGAGCTCAGGGAAGTTAACAGACTTACATTAGGTCTCACAGCTAGGAAGTGTGTCAGAGTGGAGGTTTGAGCCCAAATATGTGTGACCCAAATTCTGTCCATCTTCCATGACAGCTCTGACATATTGGACACAATGGTGGGGCCTGGGGAAAATAGGATGCTGTTTCAGGCCTGATCCCTAAGTAACCACTTAAGAGCAAAGTGACTCTTGAGGAGATGTAGGCTCTGGAGATGCTAGTACTAAGCAGTTGTCAGGTATGGCTGAGATGCAGTTAGACCTGAAGGAAAAAAAAGGATGTTTACAACTTGGCCCAAGATTTCACATTTTAGATAAGGGATGATAGTGGGTTTCCTCTGTGAGCCTATGGACTAGCTTTGGTTAGAACAATCTTAAAAATTAGCTCCTTAAACTTTGGTCACAACCTGCAACCAAGAGGGGAAATCTGGTTTTCCTTTCTTCCATCGCTTCAGATTAGATCATCTCAGCTATAAATTAAACAAGCAAAGACATTTAGGATTATATTTTTACTGTCATCAGTTTCCTAATTCTCTGCCCCAACTGTTCAAAACACACCTTAGTTTGTACTGCATTGACACATGAAAGGACAATATTCATTGCATGTCTTTTTCATATTTACAGTTTCATTTATATAGCAAGTGGAAGTAGATGGTTTTTGAGCCAAGAACAACCTTCCATTAAAGTAATTCAGCAGTGTTGATTACTTTACCAATGAATATCAAACCTTGGGAAAAGATTTAAAATGGACAGTGAGTGAAAAACATAAAGGGCCCAATTTAAGAGTAACATTTTGATATTTTACATAATGAGACAGAAGTACTTTTCTTTGTAAAATTAGAAAGTTTTCTTTTCATGTAAATACAGCTAGGAAAGTGTTCTTTGATTGTTTTCTTTCTTTTTGAAAGTAACTGATGCAATTTGGAAAAGGAAAGTTCTGTTTGTATCTGTTCATAACCAAAGAGCAGTGATGGAGGTGACTGCAAACCCTCTGTTACACTTCATATCCTGAGCCTGAATTCATTTTATTCATGCATAGACTGGTTAGTTATGGAACAGTCTTTAATGCTTTTCTTTAAGTATGTATGTGTTTATTTGTTACTTGGACATTCTGATTTTGAGTCACACATTTGCCATCTATATTAACATATAGAGAAGCATGAAATGTTAATTCATGGAAGAATTTGAAAAACTGCTTTTCTTTATTTTCTATTTTTTTATATTCAAGACAGTGGATTTAGAGCAAAACATAATTGCCTCACAATGTTTTATTGTCAAAATTAGTGTCTTATCCAGTAAACACCCACTGCATCCTTTGATGCAGCACTGTTGGGTACAACCTTCTGTGACAACAGAAATGTTTTTTATTTATTTATTTATTTATTTATTTTTTAAAGAGTTTTTAAAATTTATTATTTGTTTTTCAAAATTAAAAATTTTTAATTTTTATTTTGGGGGAGGTAATTAGGTTTATTTATTTTTCTCTTGCTTTTTTTGTTTTGTTTTTTAACATTTTTTATTGATTTATAATCATTTTACAATGTTGTGTCAAATTCTAGTGTACAGCAGAATTTTTCAAAAATGTTTTTTAATCTGTTCTGTTTAATACAATAGCCACTAGCCATATGTAGCTGCTGAGTACTGAAATGTGGCTTCTGTGACTGAAGAACTAAATTTTAAATTTTACTGAATTTTAATTTTAATTTAGCCACATGTAGTTAGTGGCTACCATATTAGATGGATGTTCATTCACATGCTGTTTATCAGTTATAAAGATATTTACTATTCAGAAGTCAATATGGAGTCATTTAATTGCTTGTAAGGAACAGATGGAAGCCTCAGCTGGTCCTTGAAAATAATTGTGTCAAGCTGAGCACACCTGGGGTGAGGGACATGCAAATATTTTAATGAATTGACTGGTCAGTTTGTTTATTCCTTTATGCACTCAGCAGATACTCATGAAAATAAAGTGCTCTTCATCATGGTGGGTGCTGGGGATATAAGAGCTTCAAATGATGCACACTGCCTTCAAGAAATTCACCAGGTAGAAAAGGTAGACAGAAAGTAACAAACTTTTATACAAAATAGAAAAGAGTTGAGAAAGAGGGAAAAGTCAGAGATAACTTGTGGTTTTCTGTCTTGGGTGACTGGATGGGGGGTGGAACTATTCACCAAGATAGGAGACACTGAAGGAGGAGCAGGAGGAGGAGGAAGTGGAGGAGGTGGAGTCAGAGGAGTCCAACTGGAGCATGTAGAGTTGAGGTATCTGTTATATATCTAGACTGCATGTCCTAAAGGCAGTTGGATATATGGGTCGATGGGTCAGGGAGAGGTCTTGAGATAAAGATGTTGGAGTCACCTCTAGTTGAAGCCAAGTGGCAAAATATGGTCTGCAATGAAGATAATATAAAGAACAAACAGGAAGTGAAAACAACCTTGGAGAAATACCAACACTTATTCTGTTAGACTAAAGTGACTTATAAATTTAGTCAAAGAAAAAAAAATTAAAAGGTAAATAATAATATTTTTGGAATTTTATTTTTAAATGATGTATGGTTAAATTTATAAGCAACTATGTTTATGTCTAAGTTACTTGATGCTGAAAGTCAAACCAGTGAGAAACACATATTAGACATTTTTATAGCCCAATCATACACACAGATGACTGAATGAGCTCATTAACTAGTTGTGTATGCTATTTAAATCAATGCTTTCTAAATATTATTTTGATACCAAAATATATATGGTGAAGGAAAGTACAGCATTTATTGCAGGGTACCAAGCAAGGTGAAAGGGCAGCTCATGTTCAAAAGACCAAAAGTCCCTGATGGCTTTCAGGGAAGGGTTTTTAAAGGCACCATTTGGGGTGAGGGTTGCAGCTCATGGTTGGTGGTGAGGTAACAGAGTGATGTTTTGGGAATCTTGACCATCAACCTTCTGATTCCAACCAATCTGGGTTCTGTGTTCTTGTGGTCAGCATGTAGTTGCCATCCTCCTCCTGGGTAGAGTGTCTTAGTCTCTGCAGAATGACTCAAAAGCATGCATCAGATTCTTATGCATATCCCTTGAGGAGTAGAACTATGTTTTATAGCTGAACTGTTGCTTAGGCTATCATTACTTTTCTTGCTTTACTACTCTTCCTTTGTTTCTGCATTTCCTCACTTCCCTAATTAGTAACTGCTTGAGTCTGCTCTTTGGAATTCAGGGAAGACCTAGGAGATGAAAGCCTTATTCTACAAATAAGAGATGGCAGGTGGGGACACAGACAGACTTTTGCACCTGGGAAGGCCCTGCAGGATCCTGCTCAGCTTCAAGTTATGAAATTCAGGCTTAAAACGTAATTCTTAGTATTAAAAGCAAGGTTTTTATTCATTCATATTTTCTCCCTCTCTACTACTTTCTCTCTCAATTTCTACTTATTTGGTGAAAAGTAAGCTAGTATTTAGACCTGAGTGCACCATGAAGCTACGTTCTCACCTTGGGCATCAAAATTCTAATTTTGATAGAAATGAATTGTTAATGAGCCAGAGAATCGAGAGTTTCTCTAATTACAAGAAACAAAATTCAATTTGGCCTGAAGGCATTTTCTGTAATTGCAGTTGGTTTAAAATTTAAGAACATTCACTCATACACCTTGGCCTTTGGTGGGGGGAAGCTTGCTTTGCTCACCACTGTCAAAAAAAGGCATTGAAACCTACAGCAAACTTCATTTTCATGAGGGTCCAGATGATTTACTTTATAGATATGGTGCAGAAAATCTTTCTCTGTAGAAAAAGTGACACCTCAGAGATCGATAGTATTTATTAAGAAAAATAAAACAATTTTTTTTCTTGTTTGAACTGTTAAAAATAAAATTTAACTGAGTAAGTTTGAAGATCTAATTGGTTTTATTAGGTGGTTTGTGAATTGGGCACCATCCCATCTAGGATCCAGAAGGGCATTCACAGGGGTTGTACAGAATGGAAGGTTTGTATAGGAGGAAGGATGGGGCAAGGGAGCTATTAGCAAAAGAAAATAAAGGATTATTTTTAGGTCAGGACATCTTTTGGGGAGGAAAGATAATAGCAAGAGTTTTATCCTATAAGTTGCCTCTTCTTCCTTTGAGGGATGGAGAGGGCCCACATGACAGATTATCTAATTGGTGCTAATCAGGAAATTCCAAACTAGATTAAGATTACGTCAAAACTGCAATTAGGTTAGGTATTACATCTAGGTTTGGTAGCATGGGCTTTAGCACAGATGATGCCATTTGGACCCTATGGTTTTTCTCTTTAACAGAACGTTATTTTTACTGTATTATAGAGAATTTAAATTTAAATGGCAAGTGAGATGTGTTTACCATTTCTCTTTTTGCCTATTTATAGAAGCATTCAAGGCCAAAGAATTTATGGAGTAGAATTCCTGAAGGCTGAACCTGCTGCTCCTGCCTCAGAAGTACGTACATTGAGAGCCATAGAGTAAAAGCTTGGACCTTTATTCCCATAATGGTGATTTTAGTTCATGTGTGTTGCCAATGTAGGGGAAGAAAATAATTTTCCATCTACCCTTCTAGGTTCCTGGCTGAGATGCCCCTGTAATAAAAAGACAGTATTAACAGGAGAAAAACAAACAGAGGTTCATTAGCATATACATCTCCTGTATACATGGGAGAGACCCAGAAATACTGAGTAACTTTCCAAAATGGCCCAAGTGGCCATCTTAAATACCATTTTCAGCTAAGGATAAAAGAATATGTTGAGGGTGGGGACTTAGTTGTGGGGATACAGTGAATGAAAGTAAGGTTGTTATGTAAATTTAAGTCCTTACCTTCTGCATTGATAACAGTTTCTAGAAATTTAGAAATCCTTTTTTCCCCTGGTACAGAGAGGGAGACACCCTTACAAATGGAGATTTTCCTTCTAAATAGAAGTATCTTTTACAAAAGGGTAACTTCTATTTGTTTTCACAGCTTCTCCTATGCTGCTGTTTCTTTAAAATAATCAGCTCAAAATAATCCTTATCCCAAGGGAGTGACAAATTCTGCTTCCCTTGACCACATAGGAAGGTTCTGATTTCAAGAAATATTCCCTATGGGCATAGCACATAAGTGGTGTTCCACATTGCCATTTTGTAGCCATTTCTCATTCAGAGCCAGTAACAGCCACTCTTGGAATGGTCCCTGTAGTAGCTTTAAAAAGAACTAAGCTAAGCTTTATTATGCCAGACATTGTTGAAGGTCTTTTTGGCTTGTGAGTGCATTTTGAAATGAAAAGTTATTGACCTGCCTGTTACTGTAGGCTGGGTGATTAGACTCAAGAGATGGCATCATCCCATCATGAGTAGAACCCAACCCCTAATTAATCTGGATTGTCCCACATCCTTTTTCTTAAACCATCAAATGTATCAGCCAATTATCCATTCACGAGATGTTACTCTAGAGAATCTTATAAGGGTACACATTAGTAGAAATATGAAACCTGGGTCTCCCCTCAATGATCTGAAATTCTAGTCTGGGCAATAAGATCAAACTAAGAAAAAAAGATACAAGAAAACAGGAAAAGCATCCTAGAAAGCCTGCCCAATGGATAGTCTTCCACCTTACCTGCCACTCCGTGAGTGCATGTAATGTAGCTGCTAGGCTGGCTCACTGCAGTGGTGACAGTACTAGAGAGAGAAAAGATGACCTAGACATCAGGAGATAAGGGTTCGATTCCTGATTCTGCTGTTTACCAATTATGTGACCTGGGGAATGTTATTTTACCATGGAGATCCTCAGTTTCCTCATCTGTAAAACAGGAGTGGTAATAATCTCTGTCAGGCTACCTCATAAGGATATAATAATGCTCAGTGGAACCTCATTTATTAATATATTATCTATATTCCTGCAGTAGAATGAAGCTTCCTTGAGAGTGGGAGCTGTCTTGTTCATCAGCACATCCCCAAATATCTTGAACAGGGCTGGCCGCACATGTAGGTGCTCACATATGTAAGATGCACAAATGAGTATTGGATGTTAAAGCACTCTGTTATTTTTATAACACTCTTCAAATGTCTGGTAAAGGGATTTCAAAAGCAATATCAACAGGTTGGAATTGTGGACTCTCACTTTGGTTTTCAGGCTTCCACGTGATTTTGCTTGAAAAGATTTGCATATTCCCGGGTTCCATAGAAGTAGTAGATAAAACTTCCTCCTTTCTGAAAACGTACCTCTGCTTAACCTAGCATTCTGTTCAAGTATGAAACAGTGAGGCAATTAGGTAGAAAAAGGTTAATTTAAACAGAGCAATGTTCTGTTTATGCACAAGCTAATTTCAGTTATGCTGGGAAAAGAGGCCAAGACATCCCTATAGCTCTGGCCATCAGGCTAACATCTACACAGCTGACTGCCTTACTTTATCAGGCAGTCAACATTTACCCAGGATCTGTAGTGTGCCTTGTGTGAAGAATCCAGTCCTTCAACTTGGTGTTTTGAGGAAAGTTGAATTAAAAAAATTCTCACTTTATAAAATGTATAAAACTTAAGTAATACTAATAGTTAAAGGTAAGTGGTTAATTTTTTAAAGAAATTTGTAATCTTATCACAATAGCACAATTGCTATTTAATTTTGCTTATTTCCATTCAGTCTCAGTCCACCATCACATATATATTTTTAGTCATAATGACAGCTTACCTGCTACTCCATACCCTTTGGCTTTCACTTATCCCTAAACTCCATCTTTCTACAGTCCCAAATTTAATAATTTCAGTAACTGAACAATATACTATGGATTTGGAGGAGTTCTGTTTCCAATCAAGATGGAGTGACAGGGACCAGATTGACTTTCCTACCCAAAACATCCAAAAATAATACAGACAAAATATATAAAAATAGTCTTCAATATAATGGACATCAGGCAGCAGAGGACATGGACTCTTAAGAGATGGGAAATGAATGAAGTGAGCCCTACTATTGCCATAGCTGACTGCCTAGCTAGTTTCCAGGCCATGTAGCCAAAAGGAAGAACACACAGGGATACCAGTGGAATTCCTGAGTTGGGTAAATTGAGGTGAAAGTAGAGGTAGTCTAAGGTTGCTAGCAGAGTACCAGAGGGGAGAGGGCTACACAGATAGAGGATGCCAGGGATCTATGAGGTGAAGAACCACCCAAGAGGATTACAGGGAATAGTGCCAGCATTAATACAGGGCAAGTAATTCTTCCTGTGTCTACCAGCCACACTGAAAGTCCTCATAATATGCAAGACATGAGGAATAAGAGTACACACAAAGGTCTTGCCTTAGTTATGGGGAAAATTAGCCCTAGGCTAACTATTGCTCTGTTTCTGACTATCAAATCATTAAGGCAAGACCAAAAGTATCAAACTGTTTCCAAATAATTTAACTACATTCCAGAACAAAGATGAAGACTATAGGAATGCAGAATTATCCAATACCCTACAAGGTGAAATTAATATTTGGCATTTGGTCAAAGATTACCAGGCATTCAAAAAAGCAGTAACATATGGCTCTTATTGAAGAGAAAAACCAATCAATGGAAACTCACCCAGGTCAAACACAGATTTCAGAATTAGTGGACAGGGATATTTACATATGTGTTACATATGTGTTACATATGTTCAAAATTTTAAGTGAGACATGGAGATGGGTAAAAAAAACTTAAGTTGAAATTTGAGTAAAACAACACTGGGTGGGATTGGTGGCAGATTAAACATTGATTTAGTAGGTTAGGGGATTTAAAGACAAAGCAATAAAAATTCTCCAAAATTAAACACAAGTAGAAAAAGTTTAAAAAGAACAAAAAAAAAAAAAAAAGAAGAGCATCAATTAGCTGTTAGAAACTCTTCAAGTGGCAAAATATATGTATAAATGGAGTCTCCAAAGTATAGAGGAATGTACAGAAAAATATTTCAAATAACGATGGCCAGAAAATTGTCTGCATTTTATAAAAGCTATAAACCCAGAGATCCAAGGATCTCAATGAAACCTAAGCAAAAGAAACATGAAGAAAACCACACAAAGCATACACTGGCCTCTGCCAGGGACCATCATATTTTGATTTGTCTGTAGTTACTATAGACAATGCTGTATTGAAAGAAGCATGTTCTGTTGATAACAGTTGTTAACTGCCAAGGAATTGAGAACAAGGCAATGTGTTGAGAACAAAGTTCTTTCCACAAAACCACCACCTCACCATTTGGACAACAGTGGCTTAAATAGTTACATCAATGCCAATCCAAAGCAGATTCTTCCTAATTGACTCTATCCCAAATATTTTCCTTTACTGATGAGTTCAGGTGACTCATGATGCCAGCTACTGACATTCTGTCATCCATCCCTAGAGATCTGTTGCTCCTGAATTGTGTCGCAATACACAGGCATTTTGGCAAAATTGGAGTTTGTACATTATCAAGTTGCTTTTTCACTCAAATCCATTGTGCCTGGAAGTGGCAGGCAATTTTTCAGAAGCAGCTGGCTTCGAGCATGTACCTGGGGCTGGGTGGGGCAGAAGAGCCATGGTATATATAAGACTCAGAAGCTGATTATGTGTTAATGAAGAGGACAGGACAAACCTGACTGAGGGAGCAATCATGAAAGCATCTTCCATTGATTTTACAACTGTTAAATGTTAGATGCTTCATCATGTGTTCATTGAACAGATACTTATTGAAGTGTCTAAAAAGTGGTCTGAGGTCAGCCCTAACACAATCTAGGAGTGGGAAGGGTGACATGGTACTTATGATTAAGGTATATTGAAGACTTCTTATGTGTCAAGCAGTGTGCTAGGTGCTTGACTTCCACAACAACTCTATGGGACATTACATTCCAGTTTTACAGATAGTGAATCTTGGATTGTTGCTATTGAATAACTTGCCAAGTCACATGATAAGTGGCAGAGCCAAGATTCAAACCTAGGCCTGTCTGGTCCCAATATCTATGTTTCTTACTATACAGTGAGGCATCTACTTTCAAAGCAAAACTCCCTATTTTCTCACATTGCCTTATTTTTTGTTTTATGACTTCCTTTTCTTTATTTTTTGAACACTTAAAACATGTTATTTTAAAGGCCATTTTAGATTCATTGAAAAAATATTTATTCAATATCTATTTTTAAACATACACTGTTTTAGGTGAGTGGAATAGATACACTTGTTAACAAAATTGAAAAATTTCTGTTCTAGAGGAGCTTACATTCCAACTAGGGGAGATAGATGATAAACAAGAGAAATATATTAAATCAATAAATCATATATTAGAAGGTGAGAAGAGCTGCTGAAAAAAGTAAAGCAGAATGAGAAGGATTGGGAATGCAACAGATGGGTGAACGCAGTATTAAGTATGAGCAAAGGTTGAAGGAGTGAGAAAGCTAACTATGATGATATCTGGGGGAAGACTCAAGAAGAGGATAAACCAATGCAAGACCTTGAGGTAGACGTGTGCCTGGTATTTAGAGAAATAGCTGGAGCAGAGTGTGCAAAGGCGAGAGTAGGTATGGATAAAGTCAGAGATGTGATGGCAGTCAGGTCAAATAGGGTCTTGGAAGCTATTGCAGGGATTTAGGGTTTTACTCTAAATGAAATCAGGAACCATTGGAGAATTGTGCAAAGAAGAATGATGCAATTATGTTTGGTTTATTAAAAGAGTCACTATGTTGAGAATAGGCTGTTGGGAGCAGGGGCAAGAGTGGAAGCTGGGGGCCCAGTTAAGAGGTTATCTCAGCCATCCAAGTGAGAGATGATGATGATGGCAGGGACCAGGGTAGTAACAGTGGAAGTTATAAGGAGTGGTCAGATGATAGATGTACATTTGAATGTAGAGCCCTTGGATTTGCTGAAATTGGATGAGATGTATGAGAAAAAGAGAGAAATTAGGGATGACTAGGAGTCAGGTGCTTGACCTGAGCAACTGGAAGGAGAGTGTTGCATTCACTGAGATGGAGAAAACTGTGGGAAGATTTGCAGGCTTAGGGTTGTTTGTTGGGAGGTGTAATAACAGTGTCTCAGTTTTGAAAATGTTTGAGATGCCTATTAGAGAGTTGAGGGGAAATATAAAGCTGGACTGGAGATAAGAATATGGGAATCATCAACATGGATGGTCTTAAAGCTATAAACTTGGATGAGGTGACCAAGGGAGTAAGTATAGATGGAGATAAGGACCAAGGACTAAGCCTGGAGCATCCCCAAAGTTAAGAGATTAGAGAGAAGAGAATAAATCAGCAATGGAGACTTGAGAAGAGACCAGTGAGGTAAAAGGTAAGCCAAGTGAAGAAAGTACTTCCAGGATGAGGGAGTTGTGAACAGTGTCAAACACTGCTGATAGTTTAGATGGGTTGACAATTCAGAAGTGACCATTAGATTTAGGACCTGGAAACCACTGTGACCTTGAGAAAAGTTTTGACCTAGTGTAGATGGGGACAAAAGAGATAACATCTGACTGAGGTTTAAGAGAGGATAGTGGAATTGGAGATACTGAGTACTTCCCTTTGAAAAGTTTTGCTGTCAAGGGAATCACATAAACAGGGTGGTAGGTGGAGGAGAGGTGGGACCCAGAGAGAATTTTTAAACAGAGTATATTTTTAAAATTCTATTCTATTTTACCTAGCATTTCCCCTGCGTCCATTCAATCTGTCGTCTTGACTAGAATGCACTGTAGCACTTTTTTCCCCAAAACAGTAAAATGCAAGGATCTCTTAACAATTAGGCAGAGCACTTTTGACATTAAGCTAATCATGGGGAAAATGTGAAGACTGAGGGGCATACTTCTTGAGTGCTGCCCCAACAAGGTACACTCATTTCTAGGTCACAGAATCATCAGGCTTTGGAGGTCGCATTTAAAGCCGACTTTGTGTCTAGCCTCAAAGGCCATGCTTCTCTTTTCAAATCCTTTAGCAAACTATCCGTGGAAACAATTATGGAACAAAAGTGAATCCAGAACTCCTCCTGAACTTGTAAAAGCTTATTGATTGCCTTCCTGTCCCCATGTATGCATGCTCATTTTATCTTTCTTTTTAGCTTCTAGCTGCCTCTCTTGAAAGACTGTCTTCAGGTCTTCATCCTAGTTGCATTTTAGACTGTAGCTTTTTGCTTCCAAAATAGTCTCTTTGCTCTGTGTTTTTCCCAGGCCAAGTATCATTACTGCCCATGATTCCATCATTCAAGATCATTTAAGCTCACTGCATATATATTGATAGGCTAAAAGTTACAAAGGCACAAAAGTGGACATCTTAATACCCAAGTATATACATTTCTATTGAAAATCAGCCAGGAAACAAGGAGGAGCTAGTGATTAAATTGATAGATGGCTATGATAAAAAGCAGAAGCAAGAAGACAGAGAAAGATCATACCCACTCTTGATGAACACCATCCAGCAGAATATCTTTTCTAAATAAGGAAAAGATTGCCACCTCCCCAGCAACATATTATTTTAAAGAGTAAAAAATACAGTGACTTGAACAGTGAAGTTGCATAGTTTCCTGAAATTCAAATGCTGGGATTTGATCTGGACAAGTGTGCTGCAACAAACAGGTTCTTTGAGGAAAAATCAGCATGGGTCTATGTCTTAATCCAGTCCAAATCAAACAAACAAACACACAAACTTAATGTTTTGGTGGAGACCTAAAAGTTTTCATTTATTAAACCAGATATTTAAATTTCATATAAGCAGTGATCCCTAGACTATTAAAAAAGGATCCAGTTGTTATGGAAATGAAGTGGATCACTAAATAGAAATATAATGTATATGGTTTAAAGCAGCAAAAGGTTTAAATTGAGGTACTGGGGGAGGGAAAGGGGTGCTGGGTTTGAAGTCGCTGGATTATATCTCTTGCTCTGCTCCTAACCTGCTGTCTGAGCGTCTCCTCTTTGATGCTTTCAAGTGGGGAGGTTGCACTAGAAGCTCTCCAGGGCCGTTTCCATCTCTCTGCTGCTATATAGTAAAAGAACATTTGATAATAATACTTTCAATTGAATTTGCATAAAAAATGTGGAGCAGTGATTAAACAGCCCCCCAGTAGTTTTTTCCTTTCTCTAAGCCTAGGCTGCACATGTAGGATGTCTAGAAAAATGGCCCCATCAATGGGGGTGTAGTTCTCCTACAGCCTTCCCACCTGTCTGAACCAGCGTCTCACCAATATCTCTGAAACAGCCTTTGACTGGCAATAATTTTCTTATGCTTATGCTTTTAGCATATCTGTACTGTGTTTCTCTTCTCAGTCTTGACATTGTGGCACCCAAAATCATTTTTGCTTGTTGTTATCTTACAGCAATAATTTTCAAGTACATGTTTCATGATGGTTTTATGTTACGTATTGAATGTATTGAAGTGATGTTAGAAATGATGCGAAATGCTTCAAAGTTTGTGTTCTGCTTGTATTTCCTGTTTTGTGTGTGTGTGTATGTGTGTTCATCTTCATATTGAAATGTCATCCTTCCCTTTTGGAAATTCTTAGGATCAAGTTGATATTGTAGCAGTCGAGCAGTATGGATCACAAGAATCCAGTTACGAAATTGAAATAGAGTCTGATACATCTAATGACTCCCGCATCTCTTCCCTGGAAAGTATATATGAAGTGCCAGGTGGGTACATTCAGACATTTGGATGGGGACTATTGGAAGAAAAATAGTGGCCTACAGAGTAGTTACAGTTTTTCAAATGAAGATGGTGTCTGTGTATAATTGTGTGAAATCACAAGAGTGAATTCTAACTTGCTTCATCTTTTGTAAGTTGTTTGAGATGATGATTTAAGAGCAATGAAAATGAATATCTCATCAATGGTTCAAGTGCTTGGGCATGGTATTATTCTCTCTCATTTAGTTTTAAGCTAAAGATTGGTATTAGAGCTCAGTCCTTGGAGGAGTAGCATCTTCTCTTTTCATACTTATGCAGCCTTTGCTGCTATGGCATAGTGTTGCAGTCCAAAGAAACCTCTTGTTTTTAAAATCTGTACTATAAGAAGAATTGTAAGTAAAGAGCAAAAGAGATAGTGGCCCCCAGACAGTGTTATTTACTTACAGAAGTTTCAATATTAAAGACATTTCATAAATATAATGGTATAAAAAGTACAAAACTTAAAGCAGTGGTATATGCAAAATATAAATTATGTCCTCTAATCCGCTGCTCTCATCATAGATAATTTGTAGTGTGGAATCTCCATACATAGAAATAATACCTTTATTTTTGAAATATTCCAATTAACATTTGCCCATTATTGCTGTCGATCTCAAAGCTTTGTTTAAAATATCCTTTCAGGGGGAGAATATTGCTCAGTGGTAGAGTACATGCTTAGCATGCATGAGGTCCTGGGTTCAATCCCCAGTTCTTCCATAAAAAAATAAATGGATAAATAATCTAATTACCTCACCCCCAAAAAGAAAATAAAAAAATCATTTGAAAACAATTGTTTTTGGTGGAGAGGGAGCCAAGTCCATGAACTCATGAGTGGGATTTCTAAAATGTAAAAGAGCAATTTAGTTTACACACAAGAAAATTCACTCTTTGAAGTGTACAGGTTCTTGACAAAGAGCCAAATATCCACCACTACAAACAGGTCTACCACCCCTTCAAATTCCTTTGTCTGCCTCTTTGAACTCAAACGCTGTGCCCCATCCTCTGGCAACCATTGATCTATGTTCCACCTCTGGTTTCCTTTCATCAGAATGTAACATAAATGGAATCACAATGTCTAGACTTTTTGGTCTGGCTTTGTTAACAAAATGCATTTAAGATTCATACATGTTGGGTAGAGGAAGAGGCAAGATGGCGGAGTAGAAGGACGCTCGTAAGTCACCCTCTCCCACAAATACACCAAGACCCACATCTACAGACCCACTCAGACAACCAGAGCACCTGCGGAACTCCGACAGAACATCGCCCTCTTCAAAAGATAAAGACGCCAAAAATATGGTAGGAGAAAAGGAAAAAAAGAAAGAACAAAAGACAAAGCAGCACAGGACGGGTCCCACGGGGAGGGAGCGGCAAAGGAGGACTGGCGCTCGCTCGCTGGGTCTCCCTTTTCCAACTGAGAGGCCAGCGGGATGGAGGGGGAGCCTCCGAGGCTTGGATCTGCACAGAGCAACCCTTGTCTGACAGAACTAAGTTAAACGGGCACAGAGCGTCCCCCCGACACCCAGCCTGAGACGCGGGCTGGCAGCGGCGGGCAGGGCCAGGCTGCACAAGCCGGGCGGAGCACGGGGGTGGCTGCACGGAGGCAGCTCCGGGGGAACTGCAAGGGCT